TAAAAAAGTACTCCTTTGGAGCACTATCTCAGCCAGGTCCACACTCAGTCCAGCCTCTGCTGAAGCACATCAAAAAGAAGGCAAAGGTATAATTGAATCCTGCTTAGTAAAATGTTCTGTAAGATATTTGGGGTACAAATTGGAAGCGTATTCTGGATATTAGATTATATTAATAGAATTATTTTCTCAGTTGTTATAAAATTTTATTTTGGTTATTCAGAAAGGTAGTCTTAAAAGGTATATATGAGTATGCTTTATTCTGGACAGATGAGAGAACAGGAGAGGCAAGCCTCAGGTGGTGGAGAGATGTTTTTTATGCGCACGCCTCAGGACCTCACAGGCAAAGATGGAGACCTTATTCTTGCAGAATACAGTGAGGAAAATGGACCATTAATGATGCAAGTTGGCATGGCAACCAAGATAAAAAACTACTATAAGCGGGTGAGTCTGTGCTCAAAGAAATGTGCATGTCTTGTGTGTGTGTGTGCGTGCGTGCGTGCGTGCGTGCGTGCGTGCGTGTGACATCTAAAAGTGTGTGTTTGCTTTATCTTTAAAAATTTGTTTGACATTTATGCATTTCATTTTTTATGTAAGAATGTTTTGCCTGCATGCATGTATGTATGTGTGTGCACTACATGTGTGCCTGGTTTCTGGGGGGGACCAGAAGAGTGTGACGGATCCTCTGGAACTGGAAGTTTAGAGGAAAGAAAGCCACCCTGTGGGTGCTGAGAACCAAACCTGAATGTAAGCCACCCTGTGGGTGCTGAGAACCAAACCTGGGTCCTCTGTAAGAGCAACTCTTAACAATGAAGCCATCTCTCCAGTCCCTGAAATGTTATCAATATAACTTTAATTATGTTGTGATAATCTATGAGCATGTATTTTGACATATACATTTCTTGGGAGAAAGGAGTGATGTCTCTGGTTAATAGCAAATGCTGTGCTTTTGAAAGATTACATGTGCATTTATTGGTTTTATTTTGTGAGTCTGAGTTTGCTGTGTTTCTCCTAGAAACCTGGAAAAGACCCTGGAGCCCCAGATTGCAAATATGGAGAAACTGTTTATTGCCATACATCTCCTTTCCTGGGCTCTCTCCATCCTGGCCAGTTACTACAGGTGAAGAATTCTTTCCTGTATTTATTCTCTCCTAAGGAAATTGACAGATGAGGAGCAAGTTTGCCCAGAAAGAAACAATTTTGGTTGATTGAGGTACTGTTCATGTATAGATATAAGGTAGTATAATCCACTGGGTGTGATGTTGGGTGTGGTGGTGTACACCATTAATCTCAGCACTTGGGAAACAGCATTTGAGACCAGCTGGTCTACATATTGAGTTTTAGGTCAGCCAGGGCTATGTAGAAAGACCCTATTTCAAAAAAGAAGGAGTCTGGAGAGATGGCTCAGCATCTAAGAACACTGGCTGCTTTTCCAGAGGACTGAGTTTGATTCCCCAACAACTATATGGCAGCTCTAAAACATCTGTAACTCTACTTCCAGATCATCTAAACTGTTTTCTAACCTCCTTGGGCATTTTATCTATGTGATGCACAAACATAGATGAAGGCAAAACACTCATGCACATTTTAAAAAAGAAAAGATTAATCTACTGGACATGGAGGACAGGAGGATCAGGATCTTGCTCAAGGTCATCCTTGGCTATGTTGCAAGTTTGAAGACAGTCTGGTAAAACAGTAAAACAAAAAGATTAGATTAGTATAATTTAAAATTTAATACAAACTCTTTTTTTTTCTTAAAAAATAATTCTGTTAATTTTTAGATTTTTTAGGCTGAATATAGAATAGTGAGGTATTTTTATTGTTTGATTTATGTGTGTGTGTGTGTGTGTGTGTGTGTGTGTGTTTTGACCTATAATTTTACTTTATAGAACAGACTGACCTAAAACTTACTGTGTAGCCTAGACTGGCCTCAAACTTAGACTTATGAGTGCTTGATTGAAAATATAAACTACTATAAATCAGCTTTTTGAAAATACACACTGGCCAGTGGTGGTAGTAGTGATGCACACATTTAATCCGAACATAAGGGAGGCAAAGGTAGGTGGATTTCTGTGAGTTTGCCTGGTCCACATAGTGAGTTCTAGGACAGCTAGAACTACATATTGATACCAGACCTCAAAAAAAAATGAAAGAAAGAAAACAATATAAAAATACACCCTGGTAACTGGGTGGGGGTAGTACCTGCTTGCAATCCCAGTACTAGGAAGGCACAGGCAGAAGAGTCTCAAGTTTGAGGCTAGCTTGGACTGTAGAGCAATACCTTGTCTTAAAAATGAAAAAAGCAAAAACAAAACACTGGAAAGTCTACTTAGAATTAATGTAGGCTATGAATATTTTAAATTTTTATATGAACTTAGTATGTTTGAGGGATTAGAAACGTAAGTTCAAGGAGCCGGGCGGTGGTGGTGCACACCTTTCATCCCAGCACTCAGGAGGCAGAGGCAGGTGAATTTCTGTAAGTTCGAGACTAGCCTGGTCTAAAAGAGCTAGTTCCAGGACAGCCTCCAAAGCCACAGAGAAAGCCCTGTCTCGAAAAATGAAAAAAAGAAAAAAGAAAAAAGAAATGTAAGTTCGGTAGTGGAGTGCTTACCTAGCGTGTTAAAGGCCCTGGCTTTGTGTCTAGTGCTGCAAAAAAGTAGTACATTTTGATGATAATTGGTTGTGGCCATTGTGAATAATGAACCATACTTGAATGTTATAGTCTTGCCAGAGTGAGGTGCTGCTTTTTGTGCTTTCTTCTGAAATTTGTGGTGAGGTCCTCTAGCAGTAGTTTTTAAAAGGAATTATGGAGATTCACAAATGATGTGGGATAATCTCCAGAATTGCCCACCTTTTATTCCTCCCATTTCATTTTCAAGGTAATCTTTTCCTTTTTTCTCTTTCTTTTTTAGACAGATAATTAAACTCTTTAGTCTAGAGGTGGCCTGGAACTTGGTATATAGACAGGTTTGATCTTGAACTTGTAGCAACCTTCCTGTTTTATCTCCCAAGTGCTAGGATTACAGGTGTGTGACACAGTGTCCATAGCAACGTTTTTGTTGTTGTTGTTTTGTTTGTTTTCTGAGACAGGGTTTCTCTGTATTGCTTTGGAGCCTGTCCTGGAACTTGCTCTGTAGACCAGGCTGGTCTCAACTCAGAGTTCTTCCTGCCTCTGCTTCCCAAGCATTGGGATTAAAGGAGTGTGCTGGGGCGGGAGAGATGGTTCAGAGAGGTTAAGAGCACTGACTGCTCTTCCGTAGGTCCTGAGTTCAATTCCCAGCAACCACATGGTGGCTCACAACCATCTGTTATGAGACCTGATGCACTCTTCTGGTGTGCAGATATACATGGAAGCAGAATGTTGTATACGTAATAAATAAATAAAATCTTTAAAAAAAGGAGTATGCCACCACTGCCCGACTTCCACAGCAGTCTTAAATGTTCCTTTATTCTTGTATCTTATTTATTTGTTTCACTGTCACTATTGCTAGCTTTTCTGCACCTGGAAAGTTCTTTTTTTGTAAAAAAAAAAAAATTCATTTCCTTCTAGGTTTGTAGTGCTGGAGGATTAAAACCAGGGCCTTGTGTATGCAAAGCACTTGATCTAGTACTGAGTCACACACTTAGTTAGCCCTTCTCACCAGATTCTGATTATTGTTGACTTTTATGTTCTTGTAATTTTCTTTAAGGTTTCTTGTTGGTGGTTTTTAACCAATCCATCTTCTTTTGTGACTACTTTTCATAGTTTCTTTTCTTTTACACTGTGTGTTCGGTAGGTTGAAGGACAATCGCAGGAGTCAATTCTTGTTCTACCATTTGGGTCTTGGGGATTGAACTCGGGTTTAAGTTTGGTGGCTAGCATTCTTACCTGCCAAGACATCTCAGTGGCTCTGACTTTTGTTTCCCTTTGAGATGGGAGTCTTATGTAGCAAGGCTGACCTTGAACTCCAGTTCTATCACTTCCCAAGTGCTGTAATTATAGGTGTGTATTAACACCATGCCCAACTTTTTGTAGTGCATGTTTTGTTCGTGTGTGTGATCACATGAGTGTGTGGGTGCATGTGCATGCAGAGGTCAGAGTAGGATATTTCACTTTTGTGGTTCTTAAATCAGAATATCATACGAGTGGTCCTGATAGTCTTTGAGGGACTCTCAAACTTCTTTCTAAAACTTCATAAGCCATGTTTCCATCATCTGCACTGTTCTCAGCATTATCTTAGAAGTTTCCATAGAACAGATGATTAAACTCTGAGCACTCAATGGCTTTTCCAGTCCAACATTCCAAACTCCTTTTAAAATCCTCCAAAAAACACATAGTTATGTCACAGCAATATCCATGATCCTGGTCCCAATTTCTGTCTGAGGATTTCTATTGCTGTGATAAAGCACCATGACACACTAGTATTTACATGGGGAAAAGAAAGAATTGACTCATGCAAATTATCCACTTCTATATGTACTTCATAACACACATGTGCCCACATATGTACATACACACATACTAAATAAATGAAAAATATAATTAAAAATTTTAAAGATAATTTACTATCTCTATAATTCTATCTATAGTGAATGTTAAGAATTTAATTTCTCAACTGGGTGGTGGTGGCACATATCTTTAATCCGAGCACATAGAAGACAGAGGCAGGCAGTTGTCTGAATTCGAGACCAGCTTGGTGTATGGAATGGTTTCCTGGACAGCCAAGCTACAGAGAAACCCTGTCTCTAATCCTTGCCCCCCAAAAAAGAATTTAATTTCTCCACCAATGTGATGATAGTACTTCCTTTCCATGTTCATTAGTAGGATTTCTCTATCTCTCTCTTTTTGGTTTTTCAAGACAGGATTTCACTGCATAGCCCTGGCTGTCCTGGAACTCACTTTGTAGACCAGGCTGGCCTGGAACTCGGAGATTCTCCTGCCTTTGCCTCCTGAGTGCTGGGATTAAAAGAATGTGCCGCTACCACCTTGCGTCAGATTTTTTTTTTAAATGATTTATTTGTGTGTGTGTGTGTGTGTGTGTGTGTGTGCACATTATTGCTATGTCTGTGTGAGGGTGTCAACCCTGGAACTGGAATTACAGACAGTTTTGAGTTATCATGTGGGTGCTGGGAATTGAGCTCAGTTGCTCTGGAAGAGCAGCAAGTGGTCTTAAGCACTGAGCCATCTCCAACCCCCATTATTAGAATTTTTTTTTCTTTTGGTTTTTCGAGACAAGGTTTCTCTATGGCTTTGGAGCCTGTACTGGAACTAGCTCTTGTAAACCAGGCTGGTCTCGAACTCACAGGGATCCGCCTGCCTCTGCTTCCCGAGTACTGGGACTAAAGGTGTGTGCCACCACCGCCCGGCTCATTATTAGGATTTTTAAATATTTTTGTCTGCACACCTGTGAGTTTACCTGTGGAGGCAGAAGGGGGGCATGTCTGATTACTTGTATCTAAAGTTATAGGTGTTTCTTAGCTGACAGATATGGGTGCTAAAATTAGAACTCCAGGTCTTATGATAGAGTAGCAAGTGCCTTTAACTGCTTAGCCCTCTCTCCAGCTCATTTAGGATACTTTTCTTTAGATTCAGAGCTTAAGATAGTTGATCCCTGTCTGGCTTCTCCTTCTATCTCAAATATTTCTGTCCAACTGCTGTTCTGGTTTTGTTCATTCTGTCCTCTTAACATATTTGCTTCATTGTTTTTTGTTTTATTTTTAATTAATTAACTGATGTATTATACAATATTCTGAAGCCAGGCATGATGGTAGGTAGCATGCCTGTCATCCTAGTACTTAAAAGTCTTAAGTAATTCAGAATTGTCTTGTTTTTGAGACCTCCCTGGTCTTCTGAGACCTCATACCCTTAAATTGTTTTGTCCTCACCTCTTGTGTATGAGACTAGGGTAGGAGTATATTACTGTATTAATTTATAAAGCTCTTCATAACAGTCCTATGAAGTACAGGTATTTTAAGTATCCTGCATTTTGTAGCTAAGGAAACTTAAGTTTAGAAACTTTGACTTGTGTAACGTCATACAGTGACTGGCAAAGGCTATTTCTTCTGAATCTAAACCATATACCATTTAGTTTCTTTGAGTCAAGCATGTCTCTCTCATATAGCCTGTGTTGCCTTCAAATTTGCTATGTAGCCAAGGATGGCCTTGAACTCCTGATCCTTTTGCCTCTACTTTCCAAGTGCTGAGATTAAAGGTATGTGTTAGAGCACCTTTTCCTCAAATACCGTTATTTAATTAGTTTGTGTGTTTATGTGGGGATTATATACATGAGTGTAAGTGAGAGCCAGAGGTCAATATTGATTGTCTTTCTCTATTACTCACTACCTTATTTTTTGAGATAGCATCTCTCATAGATCCTGAGTTTACAGTTTTGCCTAGACTGGTTGGCTATTAGGCCTCTAGGATCTTATCTCCACTGTCCCTCTCCCTGTCATCACTGGGATTACAGACATATGCTCAGCTTTTTATGTGAGTGCTTGGGATCCAAACTCAGGTTCTCTATGCAGTCAAGGCTGATTTTTAATTCCTAATCTTCCTGCTTTTCCTAACAAAGGCTGGGACTAAAGGAATATGCCTTAGTCTGACTCAATATTTTTTTGAGAGTCAATCTCATGCCGTACCTCAAGTTGGTGTTCAACTTTCCTTTATCTTCTGCTTCAGCCTTCTGAATGCTAATATTATAAGCATTCACTGACATTCCTGGCTCTATTTTTACAGTTTTTATTTCTTTTTGTCTGTTAAGTTCTAAAAGGCAGTGGGTAAAAATATAATCTTAGCCAGGCAGTGGTGGCACATGCCTTTAATCCCAGCACTCAGGAGACAGAGGCAGGTGGATCTTTTGAGTTGGAGGCTAGCTAGCCTGGTCTACAGAGTGAGTTCTGAGACAGCTAAGGCTACACAGAAACCCTGTCTCAAAAACCAAAATAATAGTAATAATCTTGTTTGATATTCCATATCATTTGCTTTTTTATTGTATAGATTTTAGATCTAATGAATATAGATGGTAGTAAGTTTTATTTTCCTTTTTCAATAGTTGACTGAATTTTCTAGGGTTTCTTTGTAAATAACTTTTGTGATTTACTTTTTCTTTTCTTTTTGTGTGTGGCTTATTTTCATTAGGCATTTGAGAACAATCTTTTTCGTGCTCCAATTTATCTTCATAAGATGCCAGAGAGTGACTTCTTGATCATTCGAACAAGGCAGGGTTACTTTATTCGAGAATTAGTGGACATTTTTGTGGTGGGACAACAGTGTCCTTTGTTTGAAGTTCCTGGTCCTAACTCCAAAAGAGCCAATACACACATCCGAGACTTTCTGCAGGTAAGGTGGGAGTTGGGCTAAGATGCACATGCTAATAGAAAAATGAAAACATATCTGAGCTTAGTTGGGGAAGGGACCCTGGTGAGGACTTTTATTCTTTATCTAATAAAATATATTTGATTTATTGGACAGGTTTTTATTTACCGCCTCTTTTGGAAGAGTAAAGATAGGCCACGGCGGATCCGGATGGAAGATATAAAGAAAGCCTTTCCTTCACATTCAGAAAGCAGCATCCGGAAGAGACTAAAGCTCTGTGCTGACTTCAAACGTACAGGTCATCACTGTGACTACTTGTCTTCTCTGTGATACTCTCATAATCCCAAAGTATTCTGACTTTCAGTTAAAAGCAATCATAGCTAACAGAATAAAAATTAATGGCTGTCAAAAGGGAAAGGTACCAAATCTTGTAACTAGAGGCTTTGATTGCTTTTTTGATAATTGGTTACTAGGAAAGTCCAATGTGAGTATTTGCATGTCTTACATAAAATGTAAGAAACCTGGCAGCAGGGGTTTTGTTGACTAATCATATCTAGGCATTGCTTGGTTCAGTGTCAGTTTGCTAAACTGTTACTTTGGGGTCTTTAGAATTCAGAACAGTTTCTCCTTATCTTTTCCAGGGATGGATTCAAACTGGTGGGTGCTGAAGTCTGATTTTCGTTTACCAACGGAAGAGGAGATCAGAGCTATGGTATCACCAGAACAGTGCTGTGCTTATTATAGCATGATAGCTGCAGAGCAGAGACTAAAGGTGAGCCTCTTCTTCTTAGGAACTGCTTATGTCTATATTTCTTTTCAGAGAGAAGAGAATACTCTAGAGATGATAGTTACAGGATTCTTATCAGTTATTCAACAATTTAAACTGAGGAACTTTCTGTGTATGGATTCTAGGGAAAGCTATAGTGTAGCTAAATGTCAATGTGAGGCTCAGTGAGGGACTTAAATCCTGTTGACTTGCTTTAAAAATGATAGATCATTCATTTGGGTGGTGACTATTTTGTAAAATAGTTAAGAGCACTGGGTGCTCTTCCAGAGAATCCAGGTTCAATTCCCAGCACCCACGTGGCATCTTATAACTGCTGTATCTCCATCTCCAAAGGATCCAATACCCTCATACAGATATATATGCAGGCAAAACACCAATTCACATAAAATAAAGGATTTTAAAAAATCATTCTAAAAAAAAAACATTGTGTGAACACAGGGCCTTGCACATGCTAGGCAAGCATTCTGCCACTTGAACTACATTCCTAGTGCAACAAATTTCTTAGAATTTGGCATATCTTCTAGTAGTTCAAGAATGCATAACAGGGGCTGGAGAGATGGCTCAGTGGTTAAGAGCACTGGCTGCTCTTCCAGAGGACCTGAGTTCAATTCCCAGCACCCACATGGCAGCTCACAACTGTCTGTAATCCATCTCCAAGTGATTTGATACCCTTATATAGGCATAAAATGCAGGCAAAACCCCAATGCTCATAAAATAATTGTTTAATTAAAAATGTACAACAGTAATACATGCATTGTAAACTATAGATACACTGATATAGTTTCTACACGGACATGGTTTGTTATTTTGTATTTGATATTTGGTAAAACTGTGTTTTCCGGGGGCTAGAGAGATGGCTCAGTGGTTAAGAGCAGTGGCTGTTCTTCCAGAGGACCTGGGTTCTATTCCCAGCACCCATATGGCAGCTCATACCTGTCTATAACTCCAGTTCCAGGGGATCTGGTATCCTTACACCAATGCACATAAAATAAAAGTTAAATATTTTTTTAAAAAAAAAAAACTCTGTGTTCCAAAAGAAAAAAAGCCCTGTGTTTATCAGTTGACTTTATTTATACATAGAGTTGTCTGTCCTCTTTCAGGATGCTGGCTATGGAGAGAAGTCCTTTTTTGCTCCCGAGGAAGAAAATGAAGAAGATTTCCAGATGAAGATTGATGATGAAGTAAGGCTTTACTGACTCTTTTTTTTTTTTTTTTTTTTTGAGACAGAATCTTGCTCTGTAACTCAGTCTGGACTGGAAACTTTAAGTCTCTTACCCATCTCCCAACAGTACAGACACATACCACCATGCCCAGCAACACTTGTACTTTTTTATCTTTGTGTGTGTGTGTATACATAAGTAAGTGAGAATAGGTGGCTGTGGAGAACCAGAGACATTGGGTCTCTTTAGGTGGAATTACAGATGCTTGTTTGTAAGCTACATGACATGGCCATTGTGAACTGAACCCAGGTCCTCTGAAAGAGCAGCAAACCACTTCTTTCTTTTCTTTCTGTCCTTTTTTTTGGGGGGGGGGGCGGGGGCAGG